CTTTCTCTTTTGGATAAGTCTGGTTTATTGATCTTATTAACTCTTTCAAAGAACCAGCTTCTAGTTTTGTTGATCTGATCTACTGTGTTTCTGGTTTCTAATTCACTGATCTCTGCTCTAATCTTAATTATTTCATGCGTGGCTTAGGCATCATATGTTGCTTTTTCTCTAGTCATTCTTCTCGAGCGCACATGGAACTTTCTCCAGAATAGACCACATACTGGGTCACAAATCAAGTCTCAACTGATACCAAAAGATTGAGAGTATTCCCTGCATAGTCTCAGACCATAATGCTTTAAAACTGGAACTCAATCACAAGAAAAAATTTGGAAGAAATTCAGACACTTGGAAGGCTAAAGGCCACTCTGCTCAAGAATGTTTGGGTCAACCAGGAAATCAAAGAAGAACTTAATTCACAGAAACCAATGAGAATGAAAACACATCCGTCTAAAACCTATGGGATACTGCAAAGGCGGTCCTAAGGGGGAAATACATAGCCATCCAAGCCTCACTCAAAAAAATAGAAAAATCCTGAATTCACCAACTCACTTTACACCTTAAAGAACTAGAGAAAAAGCAACAAATGATGCCCAAGTCACCTCTTCCTGCTTCAGAGCAAGAGGTGACCCTTCAGCCCGTGGCTTAACCCTTGTCTCAACCTCTGGATCCACCCCTCACCACCTCTTTCCCATGTCATTCACTCTCCCTCTCTACCGGCTCCTCCTTCCACCCTGGATTCGCCAGCTGCTTTTGTCACTTCTCTTTTTATCCACAAAGAATTATTGCCCTCATCTGTGCATCATCTCTGCTGGGAAATGAATGACTTCCTGACTCTTCGCCTGCAGGACTGTTCTCACTCTTGTCTTCCTGCGGGGTAAGACAAGGCTACCTGTCTGCTCCGAAATGAGCTCTTCCCTTGGCCTCCAGGAAGCTTGTGTCTCCTCCTACCCCTCACTGCCACCCTGGCTGCCCTTTCATCTTTCTCTGTGTTGATGTTCACCGGGGTTCTGCCTTCTACGCTCATTGTGCTTCTACACACCCCAGAACTTAATCAGCCCCAGCAATTTCTATTACTGTTAGCTGCTGACTCCCAAATCCAGATATCTCTTTTGAGTTCCATATTTTATATCTGTGTGCCTGCTGGACATTTCCACCTAGATATCCCAAGGGGACTTCAAACAGAACTCATTATTGTCCACAACTGCCATTCCTTTGCATTTGCAGTGAGGAATAGAAGGAAGAATGGGTGTGTTGAGGAAGGGTATGGAGGGAAGTCTCTTGGGACCCTCTCCAGCAGCTAGAGGAATGTCCATGTGGAGAGAACTCTGGAGAGGTGGGCTTTAGGGCCCTGAACTGTTGGATGGGGTATTTTACTGTTAGTCTGTTAGTAAAGCTAGTGAGCACGACAGCTGACTTTTCAAGCCCTCCCCAAGCCTCCAGTTTGTGTGGTGTGGATTTCATCACAGGAAATCTTGAGTAAAGAAATGTTTGAATCTTTTTGGAAAAACCTGTGGAGGCACAGGATAGAGATTGGGAAGTAGACCCAACCCCTGTCTCTCAAGATAGTCCAGCATGTGGACTAAGGGAGAGGCTGTGAAAGAGCCCAATGAGAACTGCTGAAGGTCATCCAGACAGACAGCCAGTTAGACCAAGACCCCAGTTATTTTATACCTCCCCCAGAGAAGCCTCCCTGCCACACTCACATACACCAAGTCAGAGATAAGAATGCTTAGCATCGGGTGCCTGGGTGGCTCAGATGGTTAAGCGTCTGCCTTCGGCTCAGGTCATGATCCCGGAGTCCTGGGATCGAGTCCCGCATCGGGCTCCCTGATCCTTGGGAGCCTGCCTCTCCCTCTGCCTCCCTCTCTCTGTCTCTCATGAATAAATAAATAAAATCTTTAAAAAAAAAAAAAAAGAATGCTTAGCATCCCTGTTACATATTCCCTGCCCCTGCTGAAACCAGAGAAACAGTATAGAATCATCTTAAATCTGTACTTATCATAATGTATGGGAATGGATTGTTCACTTGTCTGCCTTATCCCTTAAGGAAAGAGGTGTTGCCTCATCCATCTTCACCGCTAGCATAATGCCAGGTGCAAAAGGGACTTAAAAAACAAAGTTAACTGAAGAAAAAAGAGGACACTGGTAAGCAGGTAACACAGGTAAGTTTACAGGCTGAATGCCATGCCTTGAAACTAAGTGACAGTCACCTCTTCCTCTATCTCAGAATGGCCCAGACCAGACCACCTCGGTTCAAATTCCAGCTGTACCACCTACTGAACTTTGCAGAAGTTACATATTTTTGTGTCTCCGTTTCCTCAACAATAAAAAGGAAATAATCGTACTTACCACACAGGATCACTGTGAGAATTGAAAAGGCATATAAAGGGCTTCACACAATGCCGAGGACATGGAAAAAGCTTGATAAACGTTACCTGCCGCTGTTATGATTATTACCTGTCCCTAAGCCGCCACAGCAGGAAGTCTTTTCAGTGAAGAAAATAGAAATAATTATTGTAATCCAGTAGCATAAAATACTGAAATGAACCTTTGTCATTCTTTTGGCTGCCCAGCTCAGGGGCCCTTCCTGAGACTAGATGGGAGGCAGAGATGGCCTCTCACTAAGAAACTAAAAAAGCCAGCCCCAGGCTGAATGTTCAGCACTCCCTTCCAGCTAGAGTCTGTAGCCTATGATCCAGGTTTGAGCAGTCAGACACACCCAACTCAGGCCTAGCAACCAGAGCTAGTGGTGCCAGGCAGAAGGGATGGGGAGCTTGTAGCACAGTCATGCTCACTTTTTCCAGAGGTGGCAGCAGCTGAGGTCCCAGTGGTAGCAGGCAGGGCCACTGATGGCCATGGAAGATGAGCGGTACCCTCGCAAGCTGTGCTGGGAGCATGACGTGGCTGGGTCTTTGTTGCCAAGGCCCTCTTGTTCCTGTTTTCAAGCCCATGTCTCTAGCCTCTCCAGAAGGGCTTTAAACCACCCCATGTCCTTTTCTGCTTCTGCCAGCCTGGGCTACTATTTCTTGGTGTAATTCAACCTGCCAGATTGATACAGATGATCAGACCTGACAGTTTAATAAAATGTAAGTACACTATTTCTATTTTGTTTTATTGGTTTATTGATTTGCAGTGTGTCTTCTACTCAGCTCCTGTTCAAGGACCTTTTTATCTTAGATGATTTTATGGTGTGGGAGTTGGGGGCAGGACAATCAAATTTTAATTGGCTGGAATCTACCCTTAGGTGGAGAAAATCAGACAACTAATGAATGTAGGAATAAAGGAAAATGGAGGGAGAGGAGCAAAATCAGTGCCTTGTGCAGGAGAGTATCATAACAGAACTACAAGCTCATTTAATTTAACTGGTTTACTTTACAGATAAGGAGCCCAAAACGAACACACAGCTAATGTATGTTCAAGATAAAACTAACTGTATCTTCACACTCCTGGTTCAGGGCTCCTGCCTCTATCCATTCTACCAACAGGGAAAAGACCTAAAAGCAAGCTCAGATCAGGTTAAATTCAGTTCAATTAATTATACCTTTTAAGTTTATGGTTGCGTATGAAAATAATTTACATTTTCAAGAGCTTTTTATAGTTTACGAAGCTTTGATTCATTAAATTCTCTTACCTGCTCTGAAATAAAATAATCATCCTTTTTTTTTTAAAGGAGGTATTGGTATTAATGTCTTGAAAAGGTTTATAACATTTCTTTTACCTCTGACTGCTCTCCCTTTTCTATTTGTTTTGGTTTTGAGGTTGTAGCTACAAAGTAAGTCAAGAGGAAAGCAATATTAGTGTATTTGAATAAAATAGTCTGCTGATTGGAACCATCATAAAAATATATTGGATGTTGTTATTAACCTCCATATTACAAATGAAGAAACAGAAGCTCAAAGAGATTATGGGACTTGGCCAAGATTAAATAAGCACTAAATGGCAGAGCCATGACATGGTTCATTTAAAAAACATATACCATATATTGAGCATTTAATGTGTCAGGCTGGGTAAACAAGATATAGTGCTAGTTAATCCCTAGATAAACGAGAAATTTCTAAACCAGTATATTACATTCTAAACCACTTTTATGGAAGATTTTACTGAACCATAAACTGTAATTTTAGCAGCTGGCCAATAAATAAATACTCTTCTGCTTACACAAGATTCATGTAGCCAGATCTCTTTGGTCACCGATTTTGAAATATACTAGACTAAAAGATCTAACTCAGAATCATGAATTACATAACTTTTCTAGATTCTCTAAAGTAAAATGGAAATTTGTGATTCTCAAATGTCCCTAAATGAACAAAACATTGACATGAAGTCGATTGCATCACTATATAACCAATTATTAAAATCTAGATTTAATAAACTATTTTCAGTTTCAGTTTTTTCAGTCTAATGTCATACAAAGAGGAAATTTTATTCTCAGTATAGTTTTTCCAAGTTTTTCCATAGATTATTAAAATCACTTGTAAGAGGAAAACTAAGCTAATTGACTTGGAACATAAAAAGAATAATATATTTTTTTAATGTAGTTGTGTATAACGGAAAATACCATTCTTGTACATTTAGCTGAACCAAACCATTTGTATAAGAACTAAATGAGATCCAGGGTTTTCAAAGAAATTTCACTGCCGCTTTTCCTTGAGCAAGTTGAAAGAAAAATGAGGTGCGCTTTTAAGTGAAAACTAAATTAAAGATCTTGGCATCATAATGCTAAGATGACTGACAAGGGTTTTAGAAATCTAATAAAGCTGTTTTTGTTAAAGGAACGTTTCCTTTTTGGGTCAAGGCATCAGAAGGCAGGACAACGCCACCTGTTCAAGGCTCAAGCCTCCAATTTCTCTTTCCCCGAATTTCCCCAGGCTCGCCTGGCCACGCCCCCTCTGTCCCTCAGCTCGAGGTCCCGCCCCTTCCACCTCCCACTTCCTGGAGACCGCGCTCCTTTGCGCGGCCTCCTCGGGATCTGATTGGCTCATGTGTCAACCGCTAACGGCTGCGGAGTTTAAACCCAAGCCCTAGCCCCCGGCGCCGAGCTCCAGAAGGTGCGTGGTCGTCGCCCCCACGCTGAAAGAGCGGTAAGTGAGGGGCCTTTGGCGTGGCCGCCCCGCTGTCTGAGGAGATCCGTGCCTTTCCCGGCCAAAGCTCCCGGCACTACCCTTCAGAGTCTTCTGTCCAGCGAGCTCCGCGCGGCCCTCGGTCCCGCCCACCCTCCGCCCTCGGGTATCTGGGGCTGCGGCCTTTGCCCCGGTTCCGAGGGGGTCGTTGGGGGAGCCCCTGGTTTGGCTTTAACCGGCTGCCTCTCGTCCCTTCGATTTTGCGCCCGGCTGGGTGAGGGGGGCGAGCGGCCAGTTAGGTCAGCTCCTTGAAAGAAGGGATTTTTGTCTTTGTGACTGCACTACTCCCTGCTTTTTAAGAACATTTTCTACCTCTTTGTGAGCCCTTAATAAATATCTGCTGGATGAACGTTCTTACGTTCTTACGTTAGAGACTGCTTACCCGAGTTCTTGAAGGAGCCCTCTCCTTCGGAGCCCTCGTTTAGGAGGAAGGCTGGCTGAAGGCGAAGGGATAATAGAAGAAAGGGAAAACTTAAAACTTGAATTGGGTCTTGATGCGCGGGTAGGATTTCGGTAGGGAATGGGGACGATGATTTTTCTAGGTGACGGATCCAATTCAGGAGAACCGGATTTGGAACTTAGTATTTCTGATTTAGAGTTAGCCGGGATGATGGCCAGACAAGAGCTACAGAATAAATAACTCATATTAGTGAGTGCTATGTGCCAGGTCCTGTACTAGGCACTGTACATCATTGTTCAGTTAGTCCCTACAATGAGATGCGCTTACTTTCTCTAACTTTATAAGTCTGAAGGTTGAGACTTAGAGTTGTTAAGATAACATAGCTATGAAATGTTGAAACTGGGATTCGCAATACAATCCCAACCGCTGTTTTATATGGTAAGTCAGCCTTGAATGGTACTCCAGTGGCCTGGCTTAGATTCCTAAAGTGTTACTTGGTGAGGTTGTTAATGTGGAGGGTGACAGGGCAGTGTTAAAAGGAAGACTCTGATTTCCAGCTTGAGCATTTGGGTGGGTGATTGCTAGAGGCATTTATTAAGTTAGGGAACTAAGAACCAACTTATTGGGGAGGACAGTTCAGCAGTGGTTTCCTAATTAACAAAATGAGATTTGATCTTTCTGACTGGATTTTTTTGGGAGATGGACAAGATTTCTATGTTAGCATCCCCTCAGGGGTTTGAGATGCAGCCATTTGTCCGGAGTTTCTGTATGTTCTTATGTTCTATCCATGGAATAGGTGGTGATCTTTGATTTTACTTTTTTTTTCTTTTTGGCAAAACTTTTAGAAGAAACATTGAGCCTCACTCAGTGTTGTAAGGTCCCTGTTAAGCTTCTTCCCCATTGCAGAAAATTCTTTTAAAACCATCTTCCCACTATTTGCTTGACATCTCCCAACATCTGCTCAACATTTGCAAAGGAGACTCATTCCAGTATTGGTCAGTTCTTAGTATTTGAGACTTTTTCCATTTATCCATAGTTGTTTTCTTCAGTGAATGTTTACTCAGTAGCTACTATGTGCCAGGCACTCTTGGCTAAGGGTACAGCAGCAAACAAACTTGACAAATTCCATGCCCTCGTGAAACACATTTTAGTAGGAGAAGACAATTAAATAAGGAAATTGTGTGATCTTATATTAGACACTGATAAATCGATGGCAAAAAAATATAAGAAGTGAAATGGAGTCAGGTGTGCTCTTTTAAATAGTTTGGTCTGGGAAAGGCTGAGAAAGTGACATCTGAGTAAAGACTTGAAGACAGTGAGTAAACCCTGTGATTATTTGGAGAAGAGTTGATACAAAGGGAAAAGAAAAGAAATACAAAGTTTCTGCAGTGGGAATATGCTAAGGTAGCTAGTTGGCTGGAGCTTAGTGAGCAAAGGAAGTGGTGAAGAGGTCAGAGAGGTACTAGATGGGGAGTTGGGGAAGGAGAGAAGTGTCAAATTGTGTAGTACCTTATAGGCCATTGCAAGGATTATGACTCTACTCCAGTGAGATGGAAAGCCACTGGAGAGTTTTTAACAGAGGAGTGACATGAATTTACTTAAGTTTTAAAGGGATCATTTTGATTACTAAGTTGAGAATTGGTGGTGGGGAAGAATGTGGAAACAGGGACACCATTTAGGTAGTTATAGCAATAATGTACATGAGAGAGACTAGCAACTTGGATCAGAGTGACAATGGTAGGGGGCCCATGTGGACATGTTGTGAAAGTCAGGCCAGCATGACTGATGGTAGAGTGGATGTGGAATGCGAGAGAAAGATGTTTCCGAGCTGAGCAAGTGGAAGGATGGAGTTGCTGTTAAATGAGATGGAGAGGACACAGTGGAGCAGGTTTGGGTGGGGTGAGTTTAGGACATGTTAAGTTTGAGGTACATATTAGATATCCAAGGTAGAGATGAGGAGTAGGCAGTTGGATAAATAAGTCTGGAGTTGATTTGGGATATAAATTTGCAAGTCATTGGCATTTAGATTTAAAAGCCAGAGCACTAGATGATGCCCTCACAGGGGTATATGTACATAGAAAATAGATGAGACCCAAGGATTGAGATCTGGTGCACTCCGGTGGTAAGAGGTTAGGGAGATAAAGAATAATCAGTGGAAGAGACTTAGAAGAAGTGGTCAGTGAGGCAGAAAAAATCTAGGAGAATGTGGTATTTTGGAAACCCACTAAAGGTATTTTGGAGAGAATGACATGATGTCAAATACTATGATTAAAATCATAGATCATATGAGAACTGGATCTTGACTGCTATATCTGATTTAGCAGCAATGCAATTTAGTGACTTTAATGATCAATTTCCATATGGTAGTGGTGAGAGCAACAACTTGAGAGTAAATCAAGAGGGAATGGGAGGGGATGAATTGGAAACAGCAAGAATGGACAACTCTTTAAAGGAGTTTGCTGTTAAGAGAAACAGGGCAATAACATTCTAGCCTCAAGAGATCACTGGTATCTTAAATGTTCCATTTTCATGCATTTACACATGCCATTCCTTCTTCCTGGAAAACCCTTTCTAATCTTGATACCTGACAAATTCTTTGTTATTAAGACTTATTTATTCATTCAGTAAATATTTATTGTGTTCATATTATTTGTCAGGCACTGGTCTGTGAGCTGGGAAATATGTCAGTGAATAAAACAGAAAAATCCATGACTTTCTGGAACTTAAATTCTAGTTGATAGGAAATAAGTAAATTCTGTGGTATATTAGATAGTGATTTAAATGCTATGGAAAAAATAGAGAAGGGTAAGAGTAATCGGACATGCTGAGGAAAGGAGCTACAGTTTTGAAAATCCTCAATTAGAAGGTGACATTTGAGCAAACACTTGGAGGAGAGCGAATGAGCCATTTCTATCTGGAGGAAGAGCTTTCTCAGTAGAGAGAATGACCAATACAAAGGACCTGAGGCTGAAGAATGGCTGCCATTTGCCAAGCATTTAGAGCTTGGTGGCCAGTGTGGCCTGGAAGGAATGGGCTAAGGGACAGAAGGAAGAGTTCAAATTGGAGAAATGGGAAGAAGAGCAGGTGGTGGAGGGACTTCTTGACCATGGAAGAACTTCAGTTTTTATTCTGAGAGAAATGGGAACCATTGGAGGGTTTTAGATTGTGTAGACTAATAAATACACTGTAGCGAGGGCAGCCATGGAAGTAGGAGGATAAGAGGCTCTTACAAGAATTCAGGTGAGACATGTCAGCGCCTCGGTCTAGGCTGATGGCAGTGGAGGCAGTGAGAAGCGGTCAGATTCTAACGTACTATGAAGGTTGATTGGGATATGAGAGATTTTTGGCCAGAGCAACTAGGATGGAGTTGCCATTAACTGAAATAGAGAAGGCTCTGAGTGAAACAGGTTTGAGCGGGTTAGGTTTGATATGCCCTGTTTAGTTATTCAAGTAGTACTGCTTAGTACATGGGACACTAATGAGGGCATTTGGGGGCCTAACTAGATACAATCCAGGACAATCTCCCCATCACAAGATGCTCAACTTCATCGCATCTGTAAAGACCCCTTTTCCACATAAGGTTTAGAATGACAGGGATTGGTACCTGATGTCTTTGGGAGACCCATTTTTTTAGCCTACTGCAGAGCTGGAGGAGGATTAGGATGAGGGAGAGAGGAAGGTGGCCTGGGAGCCTGGAGATTCTGTGATTGATACAAAGAGGATAGTGAGATTAGTCCTGTGGACTTAAGGCAGGTAGTGAGGAGAGGCTGAGTATCAGGAGGTAGGCAGACACAGGTAATAACATTTTTTTTTTTTTAAGATTTTATTTATTTATTTATTTATTTATTTATTTGACAGAGGGAGACACAACCAGAGAGGGAACACAAGCAGGGGCAGTGGGAGAGGGAGAAGCAGGCCTCCCACAGAGCAGCGAGCCTGACAAGGGGCTCGATCCCAGGACTCTTGGGATTATGACGCGAGCTGAAGGCAGACGCCTAACGACTGAGCCACCCAGGCACCCCGATAATAGTGTTTCTTCTAGATCTCTGAAGCTGGAGGCAAGGAGCCTTGGGGAAGGGATGGGAGTTTTGAGAGGTTGATCTTGTCTAAGTGCATAGCTCAGCATCAACTGTACCTTCTCAGTAAAACATTTTCTGATCCTTTTCCTCTGCCCAGGCAGAGTTAATTACTTTTATGCATTGTGTATTATATCAGTTATTCTTGTCATAGTATAATGTGATTATCTTCTTTCCACTGTTACACTTTAGAGTGGTCCCATAGACTTTAGAGTAACTCTAATGGACAAATAGACACATAGAAGATTTCCCGCTTACTCCTCCAAACCAGCTAGCCCCCCGACCCCACAAGATTAGGTTTATCTGTTCTGTGCATTCTCTAAGGTTACACTTCTTACATCGTATCGAAATAGGATTTGTACCCACAGTGGACTCTGCATTCCATGACTATGTGTTCTAACACAACCATATCCTGTTTTCTGTCCCAGTGCCTAACCTAGCTCTTGATGCATAGATATAATAATATAGGTTTTAAATGAAAAAACAGTCATTTACCTTTTTTGGATACTACTTTAAACCACTTTTGACTATATGCATACTTTCAGATTTATACAAAGGGTTTTGCAGATACTTACATACAAACAAATTATATCACCTGAGTCATGATTGTTACCTTTTAGAATGTATTTATCAGTTATCCTTTTTTCTTTTATTAATCAGTACTCTGATTTCTTTCTTTTTTGTTTTTATTTCAGTGATGGAGCACCCAGTGATGGACACTGGCTCACTTTTTACTTCAGGAATTAAGAGACATGTGAAAGACAAAAGAATTTCAAAGACTGGGAAGCTGAATGTTTCTCTTGCTTCAAAAATCAAAACAAAAATATTAAGTAAGTACCATTAAAGTATGGTCACATTTTTACTTTCCCTTGGAGAATTGATATACTATTTGGTACTTTATTTTATCAAGTATAGAAATGACTAAAATGACTATTTTTGTTAACTGATACGTTTTGTTCATTCAATCCTTCAACTCCTATTAGTTGAGTGGTTATGATGATTTACCCTCAGTGGTGACAGCAGAATTTTCAGCAGTAAGGCTGGGGTAGCCTAAGGCAGCTACCTCCTACACGGCAAAGAAAATACCAATGTGACATTTCTGGAAAAGAGCTAAAAAAAGTGACAGATTGTTCTTGCATGCTGTAGCAATAGGATGATGGATGATCTAGATGTGGTTGGCCCAGATAAGAGTGTTGTAGTGGGTGATTTTCTATAGCCAAAGCTCATGAGAGTACTGAGCATTTTGGAGATAGGGTTTCATGGATTCTGGAACTAAGATTTTAGAAGAGGGGGGATAAAAAGGAAGTGGGAAAAACTGCCAAGATAAATTCTCATCACTTCTGAAAATTATCTCAGTGGTTTGTATCCATCTCAGCAGGAAGGGGAGAGGTTTCCTGTTGATATAGCCCCTGTGAAGGGTAATTGTGTGTGCCCTGTGAAAAAGCTGAAACTTCTGAGGATCTTTAAATCTTAATGTTCCTCCTACCTAGGTGTCTAGGATCATGTGGTATATTAGACCCCATCATACAGTGGCTCTTTCCTGTTCTGTTTGGCAGGACTGTTGTACACCCATTATTAAGAAGGAACATACTGTGTATGAGGAGTGCAACAGGAAAATATTATCCTTTAGCTCTGGAAATCCAAAACCAGTTCTAATCTGTTTTTGTTTGCTTGTGTCAAAGGTGGCTGTCGGAAACTACTGTCTCCATGCCAAAGATAAAGTACTTTTTTGGACCCTGTTTTTTACATGCTCAAACATTCCCTGAATATTTAAAAAATATTATTTTATAAATGTATCTTATAGATACTATATTTCTACTCAGTGGGATATGTTATTGAATAGTGGCATTTAAATAAACATTATGAAAATGTAAGTATGCTTTCTGTATACTGAGGGAACACACTATATTTAAGGTGAACTCTCCCAAGGAATTCACAATTAAATTTCTCTGCTAACAACACGGAAACATTTCTGATTTAAATTATATTTACATAGTGCTTGTAAAGAGAAGGGGTCAAGTTTAGATTGCAGTAAATGCCTATAAGTAAGAGTTGGATATTTAGGGTGGAGATAGAAGATCCCACAGGGTTTAGATGATCTGTCCAACCTTATAGTAAGTGTGCTCCCTTTCACTAAAGACTTTGAAAAATGGACTTTAGGAGCATTAACTGATTTGTTAATTTTCTGGAGTCACAGAAACCGGCTTTAAAATTTTGACAGATTGGCTACCCTAGTACCTATGGGCTATCTCCAGTTGGAGCTTCAGAATCAGCTTCTCCATTCTACCTCCTAGTCAGAGTAGGAAGACAGGTAGGGCAACAGGTATCAGGATTGAGTTTTTGTGACTGGTCTAATTATCTAGGATACTGTGTCTATCCTAGACGTCTTTTATTCCTAACTCTGTATTCACAACAGTCTGCATTCCTCACAGCTCTTTTATTCTTCATCTTCTGTCTAGCTTTTATTTCTGCAGATCCAAACTCTGGGTACATTTTTTTTCAAAACTACATCTATACTGTTATTCAATTGTTTTACAACCTTTAGTTAAAACTTACGATTTATTTTACCTAAAATAGTTTCATTAAGGGTATGAAAACTTACGAAGATATAAGTTCAATATTAACTTCTAAAATTTTTTTACAGACAGTTCTTCTATTTTCAAAATTTCTTTAAAGCACAACAACAGGGCATTAGCTCAGGCTCTTAGTAGAGAGAAAGAGAATTCTCGAAGAATTACAACTGAAAAGACGCTATTGCAGAAAGAAGTGGAGAAACTGAATTTTGAGAACACATTTCTTCGCCTAAAACTAAGTAATTTGGTATGGAAACTATATTGTGTTTGAATTCTGAATTATAGAATAATTATTAACTATATTATTATAGAAGCTCTAAAAAGGTTTTTCAAATCTCCAATCATTGTAAAAAATTATTGAAAGAGTATGCCATGTTAATGAACAAACTGTTAATGGGTAATAAAATAGGTGTCTTCAGTCTACGTTCTGAATGTGCACTTGGGGCCCTGCAAGCCAGTATAATACCGTGATCAACATTCAATTGTTTATCATTCGCAAACCTTGCTGCATTAATACATTTTAAGAAGATGGACATAATTTTTCCATTGAAAAGAGGGGAGTTCCCAGAGTGTTTGTATTCTCTTTTAACCCCAGTTTTCCCCTGGCTACACATCAAATAGAATGAAGAGTGTAGTCATTGCTTTCCCTTCCAACTTCCAACTCTGTCTACAGACAGGTCAGGAAGAGCCAATGGTCAGCTAGGCTGCAACTATAGCTCTAACTCTGAAATGAGCAGAAATTAATTTATAGTGGAAAAATTGATCTATTTATGAGTGTTAAATTGTCTGACAAACTATGTTCACTTTCCATGGGATGTATTATTATTATGAGAAGACAGAAATGTTTGTAGGAAAATTTATGATTGAGAACTCAAAAGCAATCAAGGTGTGTGTGTGTGTGTGTGTGTGTGTGTGTGTGTGTGTGTGTGTGTG